GTAAAAACAGCTAGTATGAATTTTGGCTCTCTCTGAAGTCACTGACTAATAGGCTTTCAAATAAGCATGCAATGGTGAAGTTAATTCGAAGACACGGCGCAGCCAGCTTTATAGACTGGGGTCTGAAAACTGCTGAACTAGCCCTAAACGAGTGCCGTCAGAAGAGTTTTGGGAACTAGGCATTCAGGAATGCTTCTTAGAATAACTTGATAGAGGTTCCCAATGCAGTGAATGAAGTGCACAAGAACTCCAAGCGGAAATGAAACCAATTTGCCACGGATGTGCAAAAAAGCGCACTTTCTGCATTTGCAGACGCAGTGTGAGCGTTCAAAAGGCAGCAGCATGGCTAAGGAGATTTCTGTGATAGTTTTCGTCCGCAGAAAAACAAGTCATTAGGAAGCCTGTAAACAGCAACAACATGGATTATTTAAAGCAGTGAGCCATGTGCCTAGCAACGGCTCGAACAAACTCGTCCTTAGGGATGTGGAAGGTGGAGTCTGGGGCAAAAGCGTTCCGCCGGTAAACGAGGAACATCGCCCTCGAATGAGGTTGAGAGCCTCCAGTCGATCACGAATGCATGTTAGAGGAACGAGGTAGCACCGGGCGGTGTGGCCTTTCAAGGACCGAGGCAAACACCGTAAATGGACACGAACACGAGACGCTGGCGGCGGAAATCTCTCCGATATTCTCAGAGACGGACTCAAGCGGAAACAGAGATTGAGCGGTTGAAATCAAGCATGAAGAGCAAAAATCGAGTGAACAGTGTGAAAATGCGGTGTCGAGAGTGTAAAAATACGTCGATCTCTCCGCTTTTATCTCCGTATCATGGATTTCTCGAGAATTCCTTTGAAAATATTACTGCAAAGCAAGATTACAGTAAGATATCAGAACGAGAAGACTTCAACAACGGCTCATGAAGGAGTGCTACAGGGCCGATGTAGCGCAGTGGATGGTGGCGGCGCTACTACAGGCAGTGTCTGATGGTCAGGTCCCGTCCATGATCAGCCAAATTCTCTACTCTTTGGAGGTCAGACACTGATTCCTAGCAGAACAAGCTGGATTAGACGACTATTGACTTCAAAAGCGTGTGTAAATCAGATCAGCTATCCAACCCTTGTAACGATTGTGAAGAGCAGCGAATGCATGGCGCGTACCAAAATTGATGTTCATACCAAAATGTTTGAATTGATGTATTGGATATCCGCTTTTATTTAGCTCTAGTGAGAGATAGGACCAACCAGGGAAATATGGAATA